TATTCCTATCTGGGGACTTCCTGAGGCCAGAGGGGTGTGGCAGGAGAGCAGGAGTAAAGTGGTCTTCTGCTTTGAACTTCAGGCTGGGGAATTTAGATGTCCTTATCTAGAGCCATCATTCATTCGTTCAGCATTTATGAATATGGCTCAACCATATTTCAGGCATGTGTTTTTAGAGAGACTAGAGCGTGGGCTTGGGGGGCAAAGAGATCTAGATCGAATCCTGGCTCTGTGCCTTCGCATCTGGGTGGCTTTAGGCCCTCTTTGAGTCTCATTTCTTCTTCTGTGGAAAAAAAATGCAGCTAATACCTGATTGCAGGGTTGTTGGGAAGTACAGTAATATATGTGAAGAGCCGTATAGTGGCATCTGGTCGGTAATAGACATTCTAAAAGTGGTAGCCTATTTTTTAATTGAAGTGTAATTCACATAAGACAAAATTCACCATGTTAACCATTTTAGAGTGTGTACAATTCAGTGTTCTACAAACATCATCACTATCTAATTCCAGAAAATTTTCATCACACATAAAGAAATCCCTGTTACCCATTAAGTGGTCACTTCTCATTGCCCCTTTCCCCTATGTCCCTGGAAAACATTAATCTACTTTCTGTCTCTGTGGATATACCTGTTCTGGACATTTCATATAAATGGAATCATATATTATGTGGCCTTTTTGTCAGGCTTCTTTCACTTGGCATAATGCTTTCAAGATTCATCCATGTTGTAGCAAGTATCAATACTTTATTTCTTTTAACGGCTGAATAATACTCCATTGCATGGATATACCACATTTTGTTTATCCATTCATCAGTTGATGGACAGTTGGCTTGTTTCCACCTTCTGACTATTATGAATAATGTGGCTATGAACATGTTTTCATTTCTCTTGAGTACATACCTAAGAGTGGAACTGCTGGATCGTATGGTTATTCTGTTTAACCTTTTGAGGAGCTGCCAAACTCTTTTCCATAGTGGCTGCACCATTTTACATTCCCACCAGGAATGTATGAGGGTTCCAGTTTCTCCATATCCTCCCAACACTTGTTATTTTTATTCTCTGTTCTTTTCTTTTTTTGATTGTAGCCATCCTAGTGAGTATGAAGTATATCTGATAGTACTATTTTTGATTTACATTTCCCTAATGACTGATGATTTTGAGCATCTTTTCATATGCTTACTGGTATAGCCTCTTTTTATTATTCTTTCACTAAACATTTTTTTTGATGAGCCTCTATACTGTATGGCCAAGCCTGTGATATGGGCCCTGCCCTGTGGTTACCCACACTCCTGTGGGAAAGGCAGACCTCAGAACAGGTGATTGCAACATAGTAAGAAAATAGGCTACAGAGAAGGTATGTATAAGGTGTAATGGGACCTTAGAGGAGGAAAGAGGAACTGAGTGGAGGTTAGGTGGAGTTTGTCTAACAGAAAGGAAAGGAGGGGGCATTCCAGTTAGATGGAGGGGGCGTGGAGCTTTGGGTATAGCCAGTGGGAGTTGGGGGCCCCTGTCATCATATGGGGAGTAAGGCTCTCTCACGTGTCTCCCTTCTCAAGCCAGGTGGCTGAGTAGGCCTCCACCTCCAGGGGCAAGCCTGCAGCAGCCCTGGGCCAGCCGCAGGCTCTGCTGAGCTTTGTCATCTGCTATAAGTACCACTCTTGTTGCCTTCAAGGCACATATACTCAGCTGATTTGATCCCACTTGAGGTCAATATTCTGTCTCCCTTCCTACGGAAAGAGATCAGTGATGCTCATTGACACAGCAGCTTGCCTGACTTCTCACATCTACCACGTAGCAGAACTGGACTTGGAATCCAGGCTGTCTGACTTTTCCACACCTGCAGGCTGAACCTCAGTTCTTCTTACCTTAGCGTTCAAGGCCAGTTATTCTCCAAGCCCCAGCCACCTTAACTTTCTTTCTCACCTTTTCTTCCTGCCTATAACTGAACCATCTTTTGTAACCATTCCGGTCTAAATGTTTTTGCAATCTTTTTTTTTTTGGTTTCTGTCCTTTACCCCTCTTCTTGCCATCAGTAAATGGCTGTCCTTTTATGTACACTGACGGTCCAAGTGCTATTCACTCCGCTCAAGTTCTTAACACACAGAATTGATCATCTTCACGGCATCCTGGCAATGTGAGTAGGAATTATTTACTTCAAGTCACAGATTAGGAAACAGGATCAGAGAAGTAAATTAAGTTACTCAAGACCACCCTGTAAGTAAGGAGTCTAGTTCAAAGGGCCCTTCCTCTCAAACGCCTGCCATGGTTACACTGACCAAAGTGATCTCCCTTGCCCCCAAGATCCTATAGCAGTTACTTTCCCCTTATTCACATTCAGCATTTGAGATCTTATCTCAATCTTATTTGAGGGCTTTTCTTTTTCGTGGGTTTTTATCTTGTGTCCCCTAAGCAGGTGTTCATTCTCAGTGCCCCAGGGCCCCAGCCAGATCCTGCAAGTGTAAATTCTCAGTAAATGTTAAGCGGAGGCATAGGAGGAAAAGCTCTGAATTCCGGTTGCACAGTCTGAGTTCTCATACTGTTCATGTTATGGCACTAACTTCTGTGACCTTGCACAATGATGTGCTCACCAGAATGGGAACCCTGCCTGTCTTGCTCCCCCTGTATCCCTGGGCCTGACTGCGGAGTAGACGGATGCATGGATTTACCATTTGGAACCTCGTCTCCATTTTGAAAGGGTTAAGTGAAATGATCTGAGGATTGCTCCCAGTTGAAATATTGCCCAGTTTTGTGAGCCTGAATGACTGCTTCTCTCCATACCAGCATGATTCTCAGCTACAGAGCTTCAGCTCAGGGAGGCAGAGCATAGCTTGTCATTTCTAGTTCGGTGGCTACATCTCAAATTTTTGCCCTTGACCTTGTCAAACTGAAGGCTAACCCAGGAGCTTTGCCTCAACACATTCAGAAGTCCTAACACCCCCCTCTCATCCTCTATATCCCTTTCAGTTTCTCTCCCTCTTTTTTCACATGTGAACACACCCACCCATCCCATTTCAGGATAATTTCATTTGGAGCACCTTCTTTAGGTTTTATATTTTAGCAGCTTTTTGACTTAGAAGGAATGGACAGTGATTTATAGGAGGTGAGCTACTGCTCTTTTAGAAAGACCACGGTCCCTGCTGTTGTTCTTGCCTAACCCATTGGGTGTATTTTATAGGTACAAAGAGAACAAGAACAAGAACTGGCCTTTTTGTGAAACTAGAAGCCTAGGATTGCTGCCCCACTAGTGGGAAAGGGCATTTTCATCTCTGATCAGGAGGGGTTGTTAACAAGATGGCCTCCTCTTTTGGGGGGCATTTCCCTTACACTAGATACCTTTCTTAAGTCATTCCTTTGTTTTTGTATTTTAATTGTATCTTTATCCACCTTATGCTTAGGGAAATAAAATGATTCTGAGCCTGTTGATAATACCAGTTTTTACATCCTGTTCATTGAGTGCCTAGTGTGTACCAGCCATGCTGTGTGGTTAAGTGTGTGAAGCATTGTCGCTGTCGTCCCCATACTTCTTTATAGAGGAGACACCTGAGGTCATGCGATTAAGACCTTGTTGCTCCCTCCTCGCGCCCTGTCTCGGAAGAGCTGAGCTTCACACTGAGGCCTCTCTGATACTGCAGTCCCACCCTTGACCAGCTGGGGCTCCATTCCTAAGGTACATTCAGGAAGATTTGGCATTTGACTGCATTCTGGAATAGTTAGGTGCTTACAGGCTTCCTTTTCAACTTTGCTAACAAGTTGTGAGGAGAGAAGCCTGGACTGGGCGAAGTGTAAGAGCATGTTCAACACACACACATACATGTGCACACACACTCACACATAAAGACCCTGAGAGACAGAACTTAACCACTCCCTGGCCACATGCTACATCCAGCATTGGGCAACATGCTACAAACTACATTTAAGATATAGCAGCAGTGGGAACCTTTGAGGAGTAAGAAATAGTAATTCCCAGAGTCCCAGTTCAGGCCCGGAAAACAGGACCTCAAAGTATTTACCACAAGGGCCAGTTCCAGAGCATGTTCGAGTTTCTACCTCTGGAACTGTCCTCTTTGAATTTTTACTGTTGACATCTACAGTGAGAGACAGATCTGGGAAGTAAAGTTTGAAATCTGTGCAAGAGAAAAATAATTCTCTTTCAGATTATCTGAAGTTGAGTTTAAAGAATAAGAAAGTGAGGAGAAGTAGTATCCCTTTGTATTTGTGTAGCACTTTTGTAGTTTGTAATGCACGTCAGTGTGTGTTGTTATCACACGTAAGCAGTGGTTGAGTTGCCAGAGGCCTGTTTCCCACTCCTGCCTCTTCCTCAGACTCACACCCTGGGCACGCGCCTTCCATCCTCACCTGTAAGATGAGAGAGAGTTGGGCCACTTGGTCACTGAGGCCCCCCAAACTCTGTCATTTCATTATCTGATACCAGTAAATGTTGCTAGTTACTCTTCCTGTATCTGTCTTAACTCAGCCTGTCTTGTGTCTGGGCTGTGGGGAGGCTGTACCTCAGCTCCAGTTCAGGCTTTATCTCCGTAAGAGCTATCATCCTTTCATGCTCATCAGTACCTGAGTGGGCAGAAACCCACCAGGTTTTCCTGGGAGATCATTTGCTTAGAAATATCTCGGTTGTTGAGGGATTCATGTGCTAGTTAAGTTAAAACCAGATAGCAATCTAAGGGCCATTCCAGTTCCAAGATTCTAGAATTCCATAAAAGGCCACCCTTGAAGATATACTTAGGGAAACCCCTCAGCAAATTCACTGGGAGCTATTTCAGTGCTTTTTATGGTGGTGCCTTTAGCATATACCCTTGATCCTAGAGTTTGATCTGTGCTGCTGCTACTAGGAGCCCTGCATGTAGAAGGGAACAAACATGTCTTGGGTTTGTTTGCTTTTCCTTTTTAACTGGTCTGGCCTCAGACATTCTCTAGTATTTGAGGTTATGGGCATTTTGAGCATTTTGACTCATAATGAACCTTATTCTCTTGCTATGCATTTTAGAAGACAAATCTGACCTTGAAAACAGTGTGATGCAGAAGAAAATAAAAATCCCCAAACTTTCTCTCAATCATGTAGAAGAAGATGGGGAAGTTAAAGATTACGGGGAAGAAGATTTACAGCTTAGACACATCAAGGTAACAACATCTTTCCTCTTCTTTGGAAGTGTGGGACAGCAGTTTCAGATTTCTTATAGCTAAAGAATTCCAGTCTGGCCTCCTCTGCCCATGTAAATGCCCCCTGGTGTCACAGGCCGTGACTTTCTCACGTTGGGAGAGGCTCGGGACGGCTAGCGTGAGTTTGCTCTGCTGGCTGACCTTCCAGGGAGCGCTGTCCTGTTTGTACCATCTGTGCAGTGTCATCGCTGCTAAGGGTTGGGAATGGTGCATTTCCGTCTGGCCTCCAGCTCCGGAGAGGTCACTGCTAGGCTCCAGGAACATGGCTGCTCTTGGGCAGCAGTTCAGAGCCAGTCACTATCAGGCTGCCCCCAAAAAGCTAAGGGTGGACTCACGAGGAGATGGGGTGCGCCAGGTTCAGACAAAGGGCTTAATGTGACCTTGGGTTGGAAGAAAACTTGTGCGTGAGGTTGCATTTCCTTTGGTGTGCACCCTAGTTGCTCTTCTCCAGCCTTTGCTTGTAAGCCTGCTGAATATCTTGTTCGATAAGCCAGATGTTTTTTTCTGTACGATGGGTGCCCTGGAGGAAGGGAGGAGGAAGAGGGATGCCTTCTGCACTGACTGCAGTCTGCTTTTGGACACAGGCCAAGGACATCCCCAAAGCATAGTCCAAAAGATGCAGTTGAGTTTAGTTCATGCATTCATTGCACCCGTGCTATGGGCCTTGGCCCCTTGCTGGTTCCTGGGGTCATAGAGATTAGACAGACATGGTCACTGCCCTTAGTGGTCTCACAGTGTAGTGAGGCAGACGGGTATCCAAAGTGATCATTACAATTTTAATGAATAAACTCATCTAGACTACCAGCAGCACTTTCTCCCAGTGGATAAATGACAGGATAGGATTTTGTCGTGTAACCTAATCTCAGAGTCATGTTTTCTTTTTTTTTTTCCAAAATTTCCAGGAACTCATTGAGAGGTTAAGGCAGGCTTGACCGGACACAGTTAAGTTGTCTGGAATCTGGTATCTCCAGCTGTCTGCATCTCCCACAAGTGCCCCCATCAGGAGAGCTCCTATAGCCCTCCTGCACTGGTCCTCTAACTCCCACTTCCCCTCAGTGGGAGCTTTGTCCACTTGAGCTGGAATTGGCCTCAGGCAGCTGAAACCCCAACTCCTGGGTAGTCCTAGATAATTGTCTTCTCACTAAACTGTCCTCTCTGTATCCACTTCTTGCTGAGCTTCAACTTGGCCAGAGTCCAAGGAGAGGCTAACACATGTGGGGGAAGGAGCCTAGTGCTCTAAGTCGGGCTTCAGGTTCCGAGTCTGACTCTCTCTGTAGCTCACTGTGTGACCCTGAGTGTAGTCCTTCCCCTCTCTGAGCCTCAGTGTCCTCACCTGTAAAATGAGGGAGTTCAACAGAAAGAACCTTCCAGTGCTAGCGTTCTTTGAACTTTTCAGTTACGTAAACATTTATCCAGCCCCTGCCAAGTGCCAGTTCTGAGTAGGCAGTGGAGGAACAGAAAATAAGACATGATTCCTGCTCTAGATTAGAGTCCTTAGCATCCTTCCCAACTACAGCATTCTTGAGGAAAAGTTTACTTGGTGGAATGCCCTTTTTTTTGTGGGGGGGAGCAGGGGGGAGGGGCTTTTATGTCTTTGTTGTTGAAGAGATTTGAGTGATGGCTCCCCTGGGATGGCTAGGCCTGGCCTGATTTGTTACTGATTCTCCACAAATACACATTGAATACTCCCTGTGAGCAGATCACTGCCTGGGCCCTATGGGTAGGGTGGGAGCCTGGGGAATTGGGGAGGGCAGTCATGATATTATAATATGCACCCAAGAGGCAGAGTGATGGAACGGAAGAAGTGCTGGCCTGGGAAACCAGAGTCCTGCTTCTGCCACTAACTGACTGTGTGACTTGGGGCGAGACCCTTCCCCACTCTGGACCTCTGTTTCCCCCTTTGTAAAGTGAAGGGCTTTGACTACGTGTCTGCACAAGTTTCTCCAAGCACTGATGTTCTGTGGTTCTGTGATTCTAGGATTGTCTGGGGAAATATTGAGCCGCAGCCCAAGAAAGTCCCAGCTGCCCTTGCCTGAACTGATTCTCGTTGTCCTACACAGAGACCCGAGGGGCGGAAGCCGAGTGAAGTGGCGCACAAGAGCATCGAGGCAGTGGTGGCCCGGCTGGAGAAGCAGAACGGCCTGAGCCTGGGCCACAGCACATGTCCGGAAGAGGTCTTCGTGGAGGCCTCACCGGGCCCAGAGGACATGGACAGTCTGGAGGACGCCGGTGTGCCCCGGGCTCTGTATGAGGAGCTGCTGCGCAACTACCAGCAGCAGCAGGACGAGATGCGCCACCTCCAGCAGGAGCTGGAGCGGACTCGCAGGCAGCTGGTTCAGCAGGCTAAGAAGCTCAAGGAGTACGGGGCGCTGGTGTCCGAGATGAAGGAGCTCCGCGACCTCAACCGGAGGCTGCAGGACGTGCTGCTCCTGAGGCTGGGCAGTGGTGAGTGCTCCCGCCACGGGCCGCCTGCCACTCCCCGCGGGGACATGGCGTGTGCCGCCCCCCTTCCGGGAGGGCACCGGGGACAGGCAGGCCGAGCTTCCCTGAGGCGAGGGAAGGGCAGAGTTACCCCAAGGGAGAGTCACTCCCCTCTCGGATCCAATCTGACAGGAGCTTCGGCGTGCGGCAGCCTTAGCTCTCCAGAGCACAGCGGGCAACGTCAAGAAATGGGGCTCAGAGAACGAGAGCTGGCAGCGTATTTGCCACCACTCGTTTATGCATCCATGTGGCAAGAGGCAGGACCGGGGGAAATAGGAAACCTCTCCAAGGGGGTTTCAGGATAGTAAAGAGAGCTAGACAGCATCCCGGCAAATGTACTACTTTTAAGTCAGAAAGTGATCAGTGCCGCAGGAGAGACGTGGATCAGATGACAGGAGAGTTCAAAGGATGGAGCGAGGCTATTTGTAACTGAGGGAGACTTCGGGAAGGAGGTGGGCCTTGAAGGGTGGGCGGGCTTTCAAGGCACAAGAGGAAGCAGAGGGCAGCAGTCTCACTGGGGCGTTGAGAAGAGAGACTGCAACTGTAGTTTAAGAACAGGTGATTGAAGGCCTTGAAAACTATACCAGCCTGGGGTGCCTGGACTTGTTTTGGTAGGAATGAGAAAAATTAAAAAGTTTTTGAGCAGGGAGGCACACGACCTTAGATTAATGTAAAGATGTATAAAACTCCTCAGGTTTGCTCATAGAAGAACTTGATAGGCTCTTATATTGCAACTGAATTTAACAAACTAGGTTTTTAGATATTCACATCTGACGTGGTTTAGAAGCAGGAATCAAGGGAAACCTGAAAGGGAGCAGCTTTGCCAGCAGGGAGAAATGACTCCTTACCTGAGAGGAAAGGACAGAAACGCTCTTTCAGAACACAAGAATCCAGGACTGTAAAAACTAGAGGCCAGTCAGTATTGAGCAAATCAGTATAACACAAGTTCATAGCCTCCACGTCCCCTGAGGACAGTCATTAATAAGCCTGCATCAGTGTTCTTGGCTTCAAAAAGGGAAGAGACTAGTCTAGAGACACAGGTGCCATCCCCGAAGTTTAAATCAAATGCAATTTTATACTCAAGCAGGAAGGTTTGTGTTATCTAGATAACAGATTGACATGTAAAGCCTCATTTCTCTTTGATGTTTAGATAGAAGTGCTACCTTACTTATATTTACAGGTGCCTTTTACTACCTAGAGTATGTCCCCAAGGCAGTGCCTCAGTAGATCTTCAGGGTGGCCTAGGGAGTCGGTCAAGAGGCCTTTTCATGCCCTTGTCGCAGAGAAGGAAGCTGAGGTTGGGACTTAGGCAGAGTCACCTGGGGAGGCAGAGGCAGAGCTCACCTCAAACCGTATCCCCAACTCCTAGGCTAGTCGTGTCCCCACCCCCTGACTCCGCCTTGGCCGTTCTGCCAAATCATAGCCCCTAGAGGCGCACAGCGACACCAGAGGTCACATGCGGTGTGCAACGTAAAAACTTATTAAAATTTTTTTATCGAAATAAAATCTCAAAGAGAAACCCTAACTATAAAAAAATGTGAAAACTGTATTGATCTTGGAGTGGGGGTGGGAGGCGGGAGAGAACTGAGGTTTTCAGAGAGAAAAAGTGTTGTCCTGGTCTTCGGATGAATAATTTTTATGTTCCTCGCACTCAGTATGCTACGCCTTCTGTAAACTTCTTTGGGGTGGAGGGTGGGAGGGGCACAAAGCATACTGACAACAAAAACTCTCCACGTCATTATTTCAACTCCCAGGGAAACTGCCTCTTCTGTATGATGATGACCTGAGTTTAAACTCCAGAAGCCACTCCTAACCCTCTGGGGCAGTAAGACACTGCATTTTGTATCAGCATGTTCCTCTTTAGTCTTAAAACACTTAGACAAACTTGGCCCCGACCATAGTTTCAGTGTCTTGATCATTCCAGGCACTCCCACCCCACAGGCCTTGAATGTCGTCTTGAGGGCCAGTGGCTGGCTCTTCTCTGATCCGAGTCACTGTCGTCATCACAGTGGGATGGACTGACTATAAATCAGCTCAAGACACAAGTATGTGTAAAGCATCCACCATGTGCAGTGCCTTTTGCTCCAGGGACCATGGGTGTCCCAGACAATCACACCTGCTCTCCGTGACCTGTGAAAGCTTAAAGTCCATCGATTAGCACTTGTTAATCAGAAAATGATAATGTGCCAAGTTCTAAGATAAATCCACAAGAGTGTAATAAAAGGTTCCCTACTCTAAGGGGAGTTTGTATGTTTTCATGGATGTAGTCTAGTCTGTTCTAGCCTAGTCTTTGGAACCAGATAGGGCTGGATTTAAACCCAACTTCCCCACTTCCCAACGCTGTGGCTTTGGGAGCCTTCTTTCCTTGCGTTCTTCCCTCCTCCCTCCTTTCTTCCACAGATATTTACTGGCCTCTGCTGTGTGCCAGGCATTTTGCCTAGTGGTTAAAGTTCAGTACGTTCAGGACACCGCCCTTGCCCACTCCCCTTGAGGAGCTCAAAGCTTGATACGGGAGACAGCCGCTGACACAGTGCCAGCACAGGGATAGAAGCTCTGCTGTGGGACGGCCGAGGAGCGCCATCCATCGAATTTGGGGGATCGGGGAAGAAAGGCTTCCTGAAGGAAGTGACTTCTAAGCTGGAGCCTGAAGGATGCATTTTTGTTATCCAGGCAGGGGTGAGAGGGTGGGAAGAGCAAGGAGCAATCTAGGCAGAGGGTACCTCTCTGAGACTTGGTGTTCTCGTCCGTAAAATGGAAATAATAATGCCCGTCTCACAGCATAGGGATACACAGCATACTGTCTGGCATTCTGTTGATGCTGAATTACCATTAGCTCCTTTTTCATACCATTTCGTGGAGGGGCTAAGACAGAGACTGATTTGTTTTTTAACTCTTGATTCTCCTAACCAGTAATTGGCTGTGTGACCTTGAGTGGGTTAACCAACTTCTCTGCCTCTCAAGGTCTTCTATCATAGAAGAGAAAAGGAGTTACATATGTATTTGTTCATTCAGTCAGTCAGCTCACATTGACCACATGCTTTCTGGGCTTAGGGACTTGGGGAGATACAAAGAAGACTAAGACATTGGAAGCTGGGGAGGGCGTAGTGATGGAGGTAAACATGTAAGCATGTGATTGAAATGCAGTGTACCGAATTTTGGGGAAGGGGCTAACATTTGAAGGTGGAAGGCTCTCTGATTGAGTCTGGGAAAACACCCCCTGCTGTAACGGCTCCTGCACTGTACACACCCCCAAGAAACCTATAACAAGGCAGAGAAGAGCCAGAAAGGGACTGAAAGACCCTCCTTGATTCTCAGCAGCACATTCCAGCCTGGGGTTGATGCGTGGCCTGGGCTGCACCATCCTTGCCCGCCCCCTGCGCCCAGCTCAAGCATTGCTCTTGGAGGCCTCCCCTTGTGTATTTTCTCCCTTCCACCTTGCCAGGGGCCCCATCTCAAGGATCTTTGTCCATCTTGGGTGCTGGATCATCCACAGGTCAGGGATGCTCAGTTTTAAAAAGAATCAGTGCTGACTTCCCCAGGCATTGGGATCCTACAGTCCTTAGATGGGAGAGGGCAGAGAGCCAGAGCCTGACCTCTTGAGCCCGAGGGGCACCTCGGAGTGGCGAGCAGGTCCTCTGGCAGTCAGGAGTTGTAATGGTGCAGCCGGTGGAGGGTAGGGGCAGAAGGGCAGGAGCAGCAGCAAGATGGTATAAGAAGCTGTTGGAGAGACTTCGCTGGCTGACTCACTTCTTCATTTGAGTATTCATTCTTTCATTCATTCCACAAGTAAACACAAGATGGATTTAACAGAAAAAATTCTCTAGAACTTGGAGCCCTGGAGTTGTGAACGAGCTTAGACAGGATATAGGGTGTTGCCCTCACGTTGCTGGTGAGGGAACAAGCCCAGAAAGTGCCTCAAGCCTATTCCCAGGGGTCTCCTGACAGCTGGTCCTGGGAGCCTCTCTCTGGGCCCTTGCCCACCATGACCTTCTTTAGCCCTTGGACTTCACTGTCAGTGATGTGGGGGTGACCCCCTCAGCCTAATCCTCCCAAAGGACATCTCTCTGTAAAGTAGAACTTTCCTTCTGTATGACCTTAGCATGGGAGTCCGCCCTCTCTGATGGGAAGGAACCTCGTTCTCTAACCCAGAGAGTCCCTTCGCTGGGAGCCTCTGTCGTGGTGTCAAAATTAAAGGAAGAAGCATATGTAAAGAATAAAGCCCTGTGACCAGCATATTGTAAGTGTTCAATAAACACCAGTCTCTTTCTCCTTTCCTGCCCTTTCCTGTTTGCCTTCTCCCAAAGAAATAAGTGCTGAGGACACAAAAAGCATGAAGATCTTCTACTTTATAAAGTACAGATTCATTTGTGTGTATGTGCATTCATTTATTCTTTCATTCATTCATCATTTATTAAGGGCATCCATTGTGCCAGGACTGTGTCAGGTGCTGGAAATATGTTGATAGAAAGTCCCTTTATAAAACATTCACGAGCCTAGGGTGAGAGTGGTGTTTATTAAACCAGGGCTTGGCAGTCTCAGAGAATTCCAAGGGGGTGAGGGGTAGCAGAACAGTGAAAGCCAGTTAGTTGCAAGGCTCTGGTATATGAGAAGGAGTGAACTCTAGCGTCTGTCTTGGTTTCCCCTCAGCCAGATCCCTTGCTCTTAGAGGTCAAAGACCGAGGCTTAGACGTCACCCTCAGCTTTTAGCACTCTAAGTACCTCTTAGATAGTTAAAATCGTTCTGGTGTGATTCAGGTAACATTAGTTCAACTGAGGCCGAAAAGGGCTCTGTGAGTGACAGAGAGGAGGAGACGGAATCCCTGCCTTCAAGTTGCACACACAGCCCGAAGCGGGGCACAGCCCTGTACACCGGACAGAACAGAGCAAATGCTGTAGCTGCAGGGGGAGGCATCTGATGGCTTTGGATTCTGTGTGCGCTTTGTAGGGAATGTAGGTGGAGATGA